AAAGCCAGAGGAGCCTTGAACCTCACCTGTCAATGCCTTTGTAAACTTCATGTATTATGGTGTTCATAATGGACTGGTGCAGAAACAGTGAGGCTTACTTTTTCCTGTTATCTGTCATTGGTGTACTTGATGCACTAGATGTTACAGTGTTTCTGAGGTGTGAGATCTCATTTTCTGTGGTATGTTAGTCCAGATGAGCCCACCCTCGCAAGTTGTAAAATACTGTATTACAGGTGAATGAGACACCATGAAGCACTTCATTTCTTGATATGGCTGTTGTTTATTAATGAACAAACAACAATAATATTCATAAAAAACAAATGTTTTTACTTAATAATTAAAGGGGCATTATGGAGTTTCCAGCAGCCACTAGTGGTGTGGTTGTAAGATTGCAACCAGGCGTGTGCTCGTACGAGTGCTCGAAACACAACCGCTTTCATACAGAAATCCTGCAATAAATGCAGAAACACCTGCATGCAGGCTGTGGCTTTTCTCCAGACATGTTCAGGTTCTGTTATTTCAACGTGCCCGTCTCAGAGGCAGATCAACACCAGCTTTGTAACGTTACTTCATTCAGCGCAGCGAGCTGCATATCGGCACAATCCTCCCGGAAAAAAGGCAGAGTGACAGCAGCTATAGACAGGCAGGGAGACAGCTTCACACAACATGCTGGAAATTCAGGTAAACCCCTACTGCAACGTTACAGTAATAGTTTTATCAGCTGCAGGTTGAACTAATCCATGCTTGTTACATGATCACGGTACATTTACTGCATTTAGCCAACGTGCTACATCATTAGCTCGCCTGCTGCTTTCAGTAACTATCTTTATTATCTGTGTATCTTTCACCGGAGGCTCAGCAATGTCAGCACAGCTAAAAGTATTGGATGATAATAAAACGGTTAGTGAGCTGGACTGAATATTATAACGAGATTGTGTCACACTTTATAATAATAAGACCGCAGTAAGTAAATTTACTGTAGTGGCAGCAGATGGCTCTTCCTCTGGGTTTTATATCATGTGGGTCATGTTAGTTACAGCGACGGAGAGATGGAGAAGCTGTGTACCTGAGCATTGGTAAGAACAAACCGAAACAACGGCAGGTCCGAGCTAATGTAGCGTTAGCTGGCTGCTCGTGGCTGCATCACTAAGGGACAGTAAACAAATTGATCCACATTTGCTTTTTACCGTTACATCATTTCTTGCAGGCTTTGACACTTTGACATAATACCAGTGGTACACAGGAAAGTAACATGGGTCGCGAGTTGGTGAAGTAATGTGGAAAGCGACACAACTTTGCACCATTAGCAACTGCTCGGTGTTAGCCGGCGAGCTTTCTCTGTGTTTCTCCAGCTTTACTAATGCTCACTTTGTTCTTGCTCGACATCATCTGAACCTACAGTGGGTACGGAAAGTATTCAGACCCCTTTAAATTTTTCACTCTTTGTTTCATTGCAGCCATTTTCCAAAAATCAAAAAAAATCATTTTATTTCTCAGTAATGTACACTCAGCACCCCATCTTGACAGAAAAAAACAGAAATGTAGAAATTTTTGCAAATTTATTAAAAAAGAAAAACTGAAATATCACATGGTCATAAGTATTCAGACCCTTTGCCGTGACACTCATATTTAACTCAGGTGCTGTCTATTTCTTCTGATCATCCTTGAGATGGTTCTACACCTTCATTTGAGTCCAGCTGTGTTTGATTATACTGATTGGACTTGATTAGGAAAGCCACACACCTGTCTATATAAGACCTTACAGCTCACAGTGCATGTCAGAGCAAATGAGAATCATGAGGTCAAAGGAACTGCCTGAAGAGCTCAGAGACAGAATTGTGGCAAGGCACAGATCTGGCCAAGGTTACAAAAAGATTTCTGCTGCACTTAAGGTTCCTAAGAGCACAGTGGCCTCCATAATCCTCAAATGGAAGACGTTTGGGACGACCAGAACCCTTCCTAGAGCTGGCCGTCCGGCCAAACTGAGCTATCGGGGAGAAGAGCCTTGGTGAGAGAGGTAAAGAAGAACCCAAAGGTCACTGTGGCTGTGCTACAGAGATGCAGTCGGGAGATGGGAGAAAGTTGTAGTAAGTCAACCATCACTGCAGCAATCCACCAGTCGGGGCTTTATGGCAGAGTGGCCCGACGGAAGCCTCTCCTCAGTGCAAGACACATGAAAGCCCGCATGGTGTTTGCTAAAAAACACCTGAAGGACTCCAAGATGGTGATACATAAGATCCTCTGGTCTGATGAGACCAAGATAGAACTTTTTGGCCTTAATTCTAAGCGGTATGTGTGGAGAAAACCAGGCACTGCTCATCACCTGTCCAATACAGTCTCAACAGTGAAGCATGGTGGTGGCAGCATCATGCTGTGGGGGTGTTTTTCAGCTGCAGGGACAGGACGACTTGTCGCAATCGAGGGAAAGATGAATGCGGCCAAGTACAGGGATATCCTGGACGAAAACCTTTTCCAGAGTGCTCTGGACCTCAGACTGGGCCGAAGGTTTACCTTCCAACAAGACAATGACCCTAAGCACACCGCTAAAATAACGAAGGAGTGGCTTCACAACAACTCCGTGGCTGTTCTTGAATGGCCCAGCCAGAGCCCTGACTTAAACCCAATTGAGCATCTCTGGAGAGACCTGAAAATGGCTGTCCACCAACGTTTACCATCCAACCTGACAGAACTGGAGAGGATCTGCAAGGAGGAATGGCAGAGGATCCCCAAATCCAGATGTGAAAAACTTGTTGCATCTTTCCCAAAACGACTCATGGCTGTATTAGATCAAAAGGGTGCTTCTACTAAATACTGAGCAAAGGGTCTGAATACTTATGACCGTGTGATATTTCAGTTTTTCTTTTTTAATAAATTTGCAAACATTTCTACATTTCTGTTTTTTTTCTGTCAAGATGGGGTGCTGAGTGTACATTACTGAGAAATAAAATGAACTTTTTTGATTTTTGGAAAATGGCTGCAATGAAACAAAGAGTGAAAAATTTAAAGGGGTCTGAATACTTTCCGTACCCACTGTATTTGGTCTGATGGGCTTCAGCACATAAACCTTTATTGTTGTTTTGTATCCTTACGTGGAGCCTGTGTTTTGCTGTGAGCCCCGGTTGTTTTATGGTGTTAGTGAACTGCATGTCGTTGGCTGCCGTGTTGTCGCTGTAGTACGAGAGGAGCGCGTACAGGGCTGAATCCGATCCGGTGTCCTCACATTAAAAGCAGAATAGTGGCTGATGCGAGCAACGGAGAAAACAGGCGTGTGCTTCATTTCTAAGTGAGTTTTTAGCCCACTGACAATAAGGCAATGACAATTTGATTTATTAAAATCAAAAATTTACATATAGCCCCTTTAAGTAAATGTAATTTCTTAATATATCTATCTAAAGAAACCTGATTTTTTGAATGGCAACTCTCTGCTATCTCACAGAGGACATCTTTTGTCCTGTCTCAGGCACTGTAGCTATACAACTCGCTTGGATAGGGGAGAGGGGTTGCAATTCACAACCCTCACCACTAGATGTCACTAAAACTTACACACTGAGCCTTTAATAATTAAAAATCTCCCAACATGCCGACAGGATCGGTCAGGATCTAATGTTAATTCATGTTTTGTTTTCTTCTACACATCCAAAATGTCTCACACACAGTCCAGGTTCATACAGTGAGAGTATTTGGAGTAAAGCAGCCGTCCTCCTAATCAATCCTGAGCGCTGTATGAGTGTCTAAATGTGGATTATAGAAGCTGAAAGTTTAATTCTGTTTCCTCTGTTTGCCCTGTCAAGTTTATTACTGCAGGTTTTTTGTTTTGTCTCATGATAGCCTATTTGCTGTGATATTACTACACGGATGGAAATGTTTGAATGACTGACAGCAGCCTCTCTAATCATAAAAGTAAAATTGTTAAAGAAAACACTCATCAATATAACACAATAAAGAAATCACCTGGAAATCTCCAGGGACCAGTGGAGGTGTGGTAAAATGCCCATACAGGTGCTGGTCTCTAAATCTGATAAATAATGAGTCGGTGGTGGGGGACATCTCATTTCGTTAAATACCTGTTTCCTCGAATCTTGGGTGGGAGGGACTAAGATGTGCCGCGAGGAGTCGAGGATCCAGGAGTCCAGAAATTTGGGAAATGAGAACGGCCATATATATGTTTACTGTTTTACCCTTTTGCTACATTATTATGGACCTATGTTTCACTATTATGTTGCAGTTAGGTTAAGTTTCCCATGGGAAAGTTGCTCCTTAGAGGGTTTCCTTATCTGACTGTCCTTGACAGGCCTTCATCTCAGGACAGTTGGTTCCTACTCCCTTCCTCCCTAAGACAGCTGCGTAATATCCTTACAGTATAAAGTCACCTGTTTCTTCACTGGCTCTTTGTCTTACATTCTGCAGACTTTTGTTTGCACTCTGTATGTCTGTCTGACCCTTTTATTTCAGAAGACTCACTTAAGGTTTAATTTCCATTTCAACCCACCTACTGTACCTACTGACCAATAATTTCCACCACATGGCTTTTGTTTACAGTTTCAGGACCATTTGAGGTTTGAACGCAAACAGGACCAGTTGGAAAATTGAAACAATGTATTATTGTCGCATTGGTTCGGTTCAGGAAACAGACCTTTAGGTGTTTAGTTGTTAGACCTATGCACAGGAATGATGTCAATTATTTAACAAACATTTGTAATGGTTTCTAATGGTAAATGGACTGTACTTGTATAGTGCCTTTATAATCTTTTGACCAATGAGCTTTACACTGCATTTCACATTCACCCATTCACACACATTCATACACTTATGACAGAACGCCAACTACTTATCAGAAACAGAAACTAATACATTCACACACACACGCTACCTCCTGAGGCACAGCCACTGTCTCCCAGTACTGAAAGACCAGAAAATCATCTGCCTTGACTTTTGAATTTTCTTACAAAGACATGACTTGAACTTGCCCCCAAAACCTTAAAAGTATCTCTTGACTCTACCTTGTCTGCCAGTTTAGTGAAGTTCTGCTGTGCGTAGCGGACGACATCTCCCACTCTGAAGATGGGGCAGTAGGTGTTGTTGACCATGTCAAAGTTACATTTTTTGATGTAATCATCAGTGATGGTAGGAAGGAAGTTTCCTCTGCACACATAGACACATATCATCATTTCAACATGTCAGACTTCATTATCATCATCATCATCATATTTAGAATTATAGTTGTCATACTTGGTGTAGTTGAAGGTTGGGAAGCGGATGCTATTCTTAATGAAAATGGTAAAATTCTCAACTTCCATCATTGGCGTACTGACAGAGAGGGGAAGGGGGGGCACAGAACAACAGAAAAGACCAACACACAAACAGTATTGTGTTTAAATGTGTTATTTTTCTTCAGCCGCACAAAGTCAGCACACAAAGTTGTCTTTGCTTTTTACAGTGTGTCAAGGCTCAGATTTCTACCAATGGATACAATTCAGTTTAAATCCACTGTAGTGTGGCGAAGGCCTGCCTTCTCGATTATCTCAAAAGCGGGACAATGAAAACTTAAACTATCTGCATGATAAATGTTACTAGGTTAGTGACTAAGTGAGCTGCCCCAACAGAGATGTGTCTGACATTAGTATAACAGTACAGAACAATGATTGTAAAGCCTTGTAAAAAGCTCTCCATCACTTTCCAGGATTGTCTTACGTCTTGATGGTGTCGATTTCGGCAGGACACCATCCTTTTATCTCACATCTGTTGACTGTGGTGTTGAAAGGAACACATTTCCCTGTAAGAATTCCTGAGCAGGAAAAGAAAAGCTTATATGCAAACTGGAAAAGCAAAAATAAGTGAATACCAGTTCTGAAGTATTAATTCAACACATACACTGTATGCATTAGCGTAATAACAAGGTACAAGTACAAGGTATTTGTCACAAAAGGCTGTCGAGTGAAATTGAGTTTTTAACTCCCTTCTGCTACTTAGCAAGCAATATACATTAATATAAAAGCAATAATAAAAATGGTAAACACAAATAAACATAGAATAGACATAGCCAGAAGCAGCAATGATGGGGTCCAAGAAGATTGCAAATCTCTCTGTTTTCTTTCCAATAAGTTATTGTGGTCATTGTTGTTCGCTGATGCTATGTTGAGGTATTTGATGTAGCCTATGGAGTTTATGACCTTAAAATTTTGGGATGATTGGTCCAGCAGTTTCTGGCGAAATATCAAAAACAGGATTTTCAGAAAAAGTTGCAAAATGTGACATTTTTTGACCAGAAGACCAGATGCAGATGTCTTGAGAGATTTTGACTCTAGGCCCAGCACTTTGAGATAACTGTGAATATGTAAACTTGATGATGATTATTATTATTATCAGCATCACCCTGAGTGTCATTGTGTGTGCTTGAGTTGTAGGTGGAATTTGGAACCCACCTGCCAATATTTGTGTTTCTAGGTCTTATTTTTTTTGGCAGAGAAAAATAAAAAATGTCCACAGGGTCACAATAGGCAACCTTCAAATTAATATGACCCCAATGAGAAAGAAGAAGAAGAAGAAGAATGAAAACACACAACATGAATTAGTTAAATGAGATGTTGGTTTCGGGTGTATTGTTTTTGTTTTTTTACAAATGTTTAAATTATATTAAATTAAAGACGCTAAATGTCACTTTGGACTCACTTCTTGACCATAGGCATATAGGCAAATTTTTGTCACACATCCGCAGATGTGTTGAAAAAACTCTCTAGGAACTATGGTAAAATTTAAATGATTTTTACTGCAATATAGATGGAGATGAGAATTTGTGCTTATAAACAACTCCTCTTTCGCCAATCCTAACCAAATTTTATACAATTAATTGAACATGCTGAAGAAAATGTGGAAACAGTTTAACTCAAATGAATGTTTTTGTAAGTATTTGTGTTTGTGAGATAAAGGCAGTTTTGAACTGTGAATGAAAGCTAAAGATTTGACTAACAGAGTAACTAAACAGAGGAAGAGAACTTTTACAGAACTTCACACAACATGAAGCAATGACATCACTTGCCAGACTACAGGGTATTTGTAACACACACATTATTATGTTGGTTTCATGTGTATTGTCAAATATTTTGATGACTTTTCATCTAACTCTGAACAAAAAAGAAAATGTGAATTTTGTACGAACCCATGCAGCCGATTACGAGATATAAACTTTTTCGCATTTGTAACGCCTCCTAATGGCATAATACCCAAGGACTAATCAGCGAAGCTCAGAACTAGCATCAGAAAACTTGCAACAAGTTTGGTTACAATAACTTGATTTATGGACATTTATGTAAATTTGACCTTAAAGACACTGGTTTAAAAAAGTTAAGTTCTTTTCCACAGATTGGTCCAGAACAAAGTACTTTTTTCTTTCTATGTGAAACTTTGGATGCCGATTCCTCAACGTTTGTTTCAAGGGGTAGCAAAAGAAATTGATTTGGACAAAATTCAAAATGGCAGAAAATATGTGCAGGTGCAACTGGGTGTGGCTTAGGTTTATATGGACCAACAAAATCCAGGAAAAAAGATTTTTGTTTCTGAGACTTATGGTTTAAAAGTTATAGGCCAAAACGCTTCGTTGCTTGGACCCCTAATAAGCTTAACAAATCCAGTACACTCCAGCAGCTTCACTGCTTGGACCTCTAATTATAAAACTGTTTTCATCAAATACTTTAAAGTAGAAAGGAAAAGAAAAAGACAGAGAGAAGATCTCACCATAACTTCCTGGCTTGTTGAGGTGCTTTGTGCAGTCACTGTCTTTGGCACAATTATACTTTTTCTCACTCTGGGTAACACACACACACACACACACACACACAGATATTAAAACTACATCAACCCTAACCATTTTTACTGTCTTTAAGTTCATGGTTTCTCGGCAGGCAGATAGACAAAGTTGAACATAGTGGAGCATTTAGCAGCTCAAGAGCAGACCAGAACCACTGCTACCAAGTGGCCAACAAAATCAACGAATGCAGCTTTAAATGAGCCCAAAGGCCTGATAGTGCGCCAGGTGTATTGTGGTGGCATTTTTGGTTCCCTCAGAGAAAGTAATAAACAACAACCAATTAGACTGATTAAAAAGATTAACAATAATTTATTTACATAAGGCCAAAAAGTGAATTATTTATAAGGTATCGAGATAACTAGTGTTACAACAAGCCCTCTTGTTATAGACTTTAAATGGACTTCAAAATCACAGGATATTAAATATTCTCTAGCAAGTTTTTTCTTTTGAGTCATTTTGAATTAACAAATTTAGTCTATTTTAAACTGGGCATATCACCTGCAGTCAGGGAGTGGTCTGAGATTTCCCCTTTCTGCCGGCTCAGAAAGGAATTAACTGTCCTTCCCCTGCTGGGTCGTATATACTGATCAAATTGCCACGTTGTGCAAAATGGCGGACAACTGCCCAGCAGTTCTGCTCCTTCTTTGGACATTAAAACCCAGCTCTATCCATTGACCCTTATGAGATCATTTGTGGCAACTCTTAGAGCTCTTTCCTGTTTTTTGTCAAATATTCTGGATTTCTGCGTGGAAAACATTTAAACCCCTTAGGATCACGTCAACTAGGGTTAACTTAATGACTCAAAACACTTCTGTGGTCTGTTTTCTGCCAAACAGCTGTTTCTTGCCATTTGTTAATGTGTACCTATGTGTACACACACACACACATATATATATCACACACACACACACACATATATATATATATATATATATATATATATATATATATATTCATTCTCTCTCACACTCTCTCTATAATAGTGGTAATAGTACTGACAGTAGCTGACCTCTGGGCAGTATCCTTGGACTTGGTTCTCTGTAGTGATCATTTTGGTGATGATGCAAAAGACTGAAGCTCCCTGCAAAAAACAAATATAAATATTATAGTATAATCGCCATCACTGTATCTTACTGTCAGTCATCTAATCTGTCCACCCATCCATCTGTCATCCATACCTGTGTAGGAGTGACGTAGTCTGCAACATCCATGACCTTGTCGTTGTAGATTCCAAAACCTTTGACCTTGGTCATCACTGAGGATTCAATAGCTGTGTCTCTCACCTGGTAGGCCTTCTCATTGACAAACACCCACCTCAAGCACACACACACAAATAACACAAAATGTGACATTGAGCTAAAACTGAAAGTGTGTGTGTGTGTATGTGTGTGTCACCTGTATCACTACCTATTAAGAGAACTGCTTAAAAGGTTGTAAATTGAGATGTTACCAAAAGAAAACAGGGGTGTCGTGGACAAACATACAATTACTGTTAAAAATGGTTAAAAGGTTTTATGCATCCTGTGTAAATGTCAACTTGATCTTCTACTTAAATGAATGTTAATTTGAATACATACCTGAGTTAGGGGTATCATATATCCTGTAATACACACTAGTTATAATTTTGATGATAAACTACAAATAGTAAAACAATCAAACCTAAAATCCCTGCTTACAATTGAATTTTAACTGGACAAAAAACTATTAAATGCTAGCATAACTTGATTGGTTGTTTTTTTTTGTTACTTGATGATGAATTAATGAAATAAGTTTAAGTGGGGAGAAAATATAAGATCTCTGAAAAAAGTTACCCACATATATCCTATATGTTTTTAAATACAGAACTTCTAGCCTTTAAAAATTGTATGATCTTATATATATATATATATATATATTAATATTAATATTTGAACATAACATTTTGAATTAAAATATCAATACGTCACAATGGTGTAATAACAGCTATGCTACTTTATGGTAATAAAAATGACAACATGGAAATTACATTAATGTCTGATGAATATAAATTTCTGTAACTTTTAGCTGTTGTTCATCCAACCAGGCCAAAGTAAATACTGTAAAACCTTAAAAACACACCAGAATGAAGGGAAATACTCACCCAACGAAATAAGTGATGATGAGGAGTTGGACGACACGGTTAATGATGCCGATGGTCCAGCTCTTCACTACCACCGACTTGGTGGTTTCGTAGGTGAAGAAGTCTGTTATACAAGCCCACATACTAGCACTATGTGTTTTACTACTACTAATACTTTGTTTTTTGTATATTCTGTATGTGATATGACTTAAAGGAATCTAAAAAAATGTGTGGATTATGGATGTAAACTCCAAATGAAGTAGCTGTTACCTACAGTAATAACAGATTGCTGTCCCCAAATGCGGCTGACATCTTCACTATTATTTTGTGTTGAAGAAAAAAAGAAATCGATATTTCAGATCCAACACTGAGAGCAGTATCAAGACATCCAAGGACTGTATCTCGACTTCTTCTTCATGGAATAGGTTGAGCCGTCTTCTGAAAACACAGTTAAGAAATTCCTGTAGTTCAGTGGCACCTACTTTCAGCTGATGCTCTCTTGCTCTAACTTCCAGCTTAATGTATCATGTTGACTAACTAGTCAACAAGTAAACATCTTTCTTTCTCTCCTTTTTCACCCACTCTGCTGGTCTCTCTTTCTTATTTCCTCTCTCTCTCTCTCTCTCTCTCTCTCTCTCTCTCTCTCGTTTATCTCTGACTCTTTGGTTTCCCCCTCGATGACTTCTCAAAGTCCACCTCCCTCCTTCTGCTCAGAATACCATGGACGTTCACGGTCAATTGGAAAAAAGAGTATTGTAATAAGAGTGTTGACTAAAAGTAAAACTTGAATTTCAGTCAAAGCTGAGAGATTAATATTATAAAGTACAGTAGTCTAAAATATGCTTTCAGAGTTATTAAAGTTTTTTATTAGCGTTTTTCCCTCCTATGTAATTCATTACTTTCAAAAGTATTTGGAATAAAACTGGAGCTTGGAGTTTAAGGAGCTGTTAGGCTGAAAAAGCTTTAGAGTTATTTGAAGTAGGGCTGGGCAATAAAACAATAATGATAGTTATCGCAATATAATTTTCCTCAATATAAATCTAATTAATGTTCAATATATCGTCAATAAATATTTGGTTTAATTCATATGAATCATGAACAAATTAGCACTTAATTTTTCTGTTAAAATATTTATTTTGTTGTGGAAAAGGGACTGAAAAAAGATTTACTAATATACTAGTTTAATTATAATACTAGTTTTGATTGTTCTCCTCAGTTTTGTTAAGTGATTCACTGTTTAGCATCAAGTGTTTCTCCCATTCTGACCACAAAGAAACGTTTAACCACATAATGAATCATCTTGTTTCTTAAATTTTCAGTCTGAAGCAAAACTCAGCATTTAAACTTGAAAGAACTAACGACTTTACATTTATCGTGATAATTATCGATATCGAATGATATAAAATGTTTTTATTGTGATAACATTTTTGGCCATATTGCCCAGCCCTAGTTGGAAAGTGTATTTACTGTATTTACTGTACTCCTGATACAGCTAGGCAGTTCCCCCTGTTTCCAGTCATTAAGCAAAGCTAACCATGTTTCTTTGTTTTACTTGTGTACTTTGTAAAAGCTGTTAACTAGAGGTCTTCATGCAAAACTTGATATTCATGAGTTTTCATGAGCATGAGTAAGTATTTATTCATTTTCAAAAAAGAGAAGACATATTTCGAAAGGGACCCAAGGACACAATTTAGACACCATTAATTGAGATGGGTTTTTAATTAAGACACATTGTGATCATTCAGGTTTTGCCCAAGATATCAGGCTGCATGTTGAAGTATCCTTGGACAAGATACTGAACCCCGAATTGCCCCTGGTGGCTGTTCTGCCAGTGTGTGAATGGTGAATGCAGATGTAGTGTAAAAGCGCTTTGAGTGGTCGAAAAGACTAGAAAGGCGCTATACAAATACGGAGCATTTACATAATAATATCAACCATGAAGCCAGTATCCTGGCTGGATCAACCCATTAGCTAGACGTAAAATTCCATCGCTCACATACTGAGACATACTTTTTAATTTAAATGTCCCATTAAGGACTACAAAACCCATCTTCCACACAAGCAGTATAGTGTAGTTGTTCAGTTTCTACAGTAAATATTTAATTATTCAACTGCATCATATCCAACCATCATGTCAAAGGTTGATCACAGTGAGTGGAGCAAACCTCATTTTGTATGAAAGGCTACTATCAGTCCCATGTATCCGTCTCTACATCTGAATGCACACCGCAAACCATATCCAGGAGATAACATTTCACACTAATTCAATATAGCATCAAAGCTGCCTTCAGTCTAATGCCATCAAGACTCTGAATGCCTCCATTAAACAGAAGCCACTTAAGGTGAGTCGATAATGTACTGCCATTGAATTAGAACCAGGAAGTGCTAAAATATTATTGTGTCTCTGTCTCTCTCTTTCTTTCTGAAATAAGGGAATAGGATGAGAGAAGGGAGAATAAGAAGAGGATGGAAAACAAGGAGGAAAAGGCAAAAAGTCACGTGGTGCAGATAAACCACGAGGAGGACGAGGAATAAAGATAGAGAAAAAGAGTGGGGATGGCATACGGATGGAAGGAAATAGGAAGGAGGAAATGTTGTTCCAAGTTTACCAATCGATACACACACACACAAACACACAAGCCATCATCCAGTCCAGTCCAGTCCACAGCCTATCTACAGCACTGGAGCTGAGGTCATTTAATTAAACGGCCATATTGAGAAATCAAATATTACAGTATGTGGCTGATATCCTGATTTTAAATTTCCAGGAATATTTAGCATTCTACAATGGTCTAAATGTTGACAAGAATACATTTGTGAGGGAGGAAATGAGAGCTGGAACTCTTTTGGCATAAATCTTATCTCTGTACAGTTCCTTACCTAAGCACAAAGACTGGTAAGAGGGGGAAACAGCTAATGTGCTTCTGTCCAAAGGTAAAATAAAATCCACCTGACAGCATCTCTAATTAAAAACTCATTAGTGACCTAATTGCTCTCTGTACATCTGAGCAAAATTATAAACGCAACAGTTTTTTCCCCCATTCATCATGAGCTGAACTCAAAGATCGAAGACTTTCTCTATGTACACAAAAGGCCTATTACTCTCAAATGTTGTTCATTAATCTGTCAAAATCTGTGTTAGTGAGCACTTCTCCTTTGCCGAGATCATCCATCCACCTCACAGGTGTGGCATATCAAGATGCTGATCAGACAGCATGGGTATAGCACCGGTGTGCCTTAGGCTGGCCACAATAAAAGGCCACTTTTATTGAATGGGGGCAAAAACAAAAGCGTTGCGTTTATAATTTCGTTCAGTGTAGATCGTGCTGCATTCGATACTATAGACCAACTTATTCTATTCTGGAACATTTCATTGGCATTAAAGGAGCCACTCTAAACTGGTTTAAGTCCTCTTTATCAGATCGATCTCAGTTTGTACATGTTAACAATGAATCCTCCATGCACGGATTTCCACAAGGTTCTGTGCTGGGACCAATCCTGTTCACCTTGTATATGCTTCCTTTAGGCAGCAGTATCAGGAAACACGCTTTACAGCAAATGTGCCTTCAGGATGTAACAACCTGATGTTAAACTCAGACAAAACTGAAGTTATTGTACTTGGATGACATTGCCCTGAGTTATCTTTGATTAGGAAATGTCCTTTAAAGCTACAGTGGGGAATTCTTTCAAGAAGAATAAGATACTTTATCGTAACATACACATAGCAAAATTCATTGTCTGCATTTAACCCATCCCTCGAGGGAGCAGTGGGCTGTGCAGCGCCCGGGGACCAACTCCAGATCTTTATCAGTGCCTGGTCAATTGTACTGACTGAAGAACCTAACATGTTTTTGATGGTGGCGGAAACCGTAGCAAACCTACGCAGACACCGGGAGAACATGCAAAATCCAAACAGAAAGGCCTGGACAACCGGGGTTTGAACCCGCGACCTTATTGCTGGGAGGTCACAGTGGTATCCAGTGGACCAACATACCACAAAAATAACCTAACTTTGTTATAAAATAACTTTGTCATATTTGCTCAAACTATCACTATTTCCTGACAGTAGTACATGAGTCAGATAAATGAATGTGAAAATAATCAGGTTCCTATGGCTCCTCCTACTGCTCCTCATGTAATTTGCAAGAATCCAAAACAGCCAATCAGAGCCAGGAGCAGTCTCACTACTTGTGCACATGCTCTACAGCCCCCCTCCTCAACATGCTCTCACTCAGGCTTCAGAAGTTTTGCAAACACAATAGTACAAAACAGTACAAAACGTGTGAACAGGTCCCGGCTCCACACGGAGCTTCCCGCTCATTGTGTTTGATACCATGGTACTCGTTTCGACGAGTGGCAAAGAGTAATTCAATTCAATTCAATTCAATTCAATTTTATTTATATAGCGCCAAATCACAACAACAGTTATCTCACAGCGCTTTTCATAAAAGAGCAGGTCTAGACCATACTCTGTGATGATATTTACAGAAGCCCAACAGTTCCCACCAAGAGCAAGCACTAGGCGACAGAGGCAAGGAAAAACTTCCTTTTAAGAGGCAGAAACCTCGAGCAGAACCATGGCTCAGGGTGGGCGGCCATCTGCCTTGACCGGTTGGGGTGAGAGAGAGAGAGAGAGAGAGAAAGAGAGAGAGAAAGAGAGTGAAAGAGAGAGAGAGAGAGAAAGAGAGAGAGAGAGAGAGAGAGAGGGATGTAAGGAGAGAGAGAGGGGAGGGAGGCAGCCTACACAATATACACACAGAGGTACAGACAGCGAAGGTAATGTTGCTATAAACTAAATGAAAAATGGTACAGATATTTATAATAGTGTTAATGGTAACCATCATAATGTTAATGATTATAATAACAATAATAACAATAAGACTAGCAACAATAGTCGTTGCAGTAGAGGGTGTCGAGCAGGAACACGGGGGCAGCAGGCGACCCGCAGCCACAGATCCAGACTCCACAGCTCCAGAGCCAGAAAACCTGCAGGAAGTGATAGGAGGAGAGAGGAGAGGGACGAGAAAGCACAAGACTACCAGAAAGGGGAGAAGTAATGATGACAAACAGTGGGGAATAACGTTTGAGGGGGGCAGTGGTGTAGTAGACTCTCATCCTGCCGTTAGACCTTGTCGCAGCTGCCTCTAAAGCCTGGGGTGGTCTGCTCTGGGCTGATGAGGTTTCCATGGCAACTGGCTCCTTGTTGTGGGTTTGGTGGGAGCGGCGAGTGAGAAATGCAGAAGGTTATAATATTGTATGTTCAATTGTTACCAACTGCTGTTTTAACATAAAACATTCAAACAAATCTTCAAACATTGTGGTCTTAGCCCAAAAATCATCACCTGATAATTGCACCCCCACCCCCGCTGCTGCTAACTTGTTATGCCATGTGCCTAAGTCATCACCTTGATTTTTACACCATTAATTTTACTATGTTTTTCTTCCTATAAGTCATGAAGTAAATGTGATATTTAAATAAATTATTATAATTTCTGTTATTACTATTACAAATAATAGAATAATAAAAACATAATAATATAATCTGGGAGTCTGAGGTTAAGTTTAAACACTTCATTTCCTGACAATTCA